TTCAAGTATGTTTAGAAGTATTTTGCTCTGGTTGGACTCTCCTGATCTCCTCCATGAACAGTTATAAATGGTCATGGCTGAAGGCGATAGACCTGGAAATTATTTTTCTTCTTTTTTTTTAAATCAGAAGTGTAAACAGAACAGGAATTTCACTTTGCACATATTTAGTCACTTTAGTCACAGAGTAAAAATGTTCAAATGTTCATTTATCTCTCCCTTATTCTCTGTCTCACACACACTTTTTCATATCTCTGTTTAATCATTTTCAATTCAGCTTACCTAATTTCCTGTTTCTTCCAGGAAAAATGTTCCAGGCTCCAGATCTGAACCTCATCGTTGAGTTCATCTTCATGTTTTACAAGGAGAAACCCATCGACTGGCTGCTGGACCACATCCTCTGGGTCAAAGTCTGCAATCCAGAGAAGGATGCGGTACATAAATTCTTTATGACACCTCACAGTGGGAGTTCTATTGATTTCTGTGTCTTGAATTTTACTCAGTCTAAAGTAAGATCCTGAAAAGAGGGAGCTTTGACAAAACTAGCCCAGTGGCTGTTTAAAAAGAAAATACAAATGTAGACCAGTTTGCAAAGTTACGCCGATGGTTGATGAGCCTGATGCAAATATTGATTCTTCATGTTTTTTTCTTTGTTTTTTTGTTATAAATTTTACTGTAAGAACACACCTACAGGTGGCTTTTTTATACATTTCAAAGACAGTCAGTGTAAACATGTAGCATTGTATCTGCCTGTAAACAGCAATGTACAGGAATGCTCATGGAAAAACTTAAGAGAATGCCGGAGTATGAGTATTGGTAAACTGTTTGTTTATTAGTTGGTCTGATGTCTAATTATCACCTTTCTTGTTTTTTTCCAGAAACACTGCGAACGACAGAAGTCCAGTCTGCGTGTTCGGTTCAGGCCCTCCCTGTTCCAACACGTGGGTCTCCATTCTTCTCTTGCCGGAAAAATCCAAAAACTCACAGTGAGTCTCTTAGTTATATTTAGGTCAAGAGTGAATGCAACTTCCTGTGTGCAACCTCCAGTCCTTTCATCTGTGTGTCTGCAGGACAAGGACTTCCTGAAGCCGCTGTTGCACAAGATGCACGTAAATCCCCCGGCGGAAGTCTCCACCTCCATGAAGGTGTCACAGACACGTTTCTACGTACTGTTAGAGTCTGCGGTGCAAATGTTGTCTGTTCCAGTGAAATACAATGTGTTGGTGTCACGCAGGTGTATCAGGGTCACACACTGGAGAAGACGTACCTGGGAGAAGACTTCTTCTGGGCCATAACTCCTACTGCAGGAGACTTTATCCTCTTCAAATTTGACAGACCAGTGTATATAGAGAGGTGAGTCAATAATGACTCCTCAGAATAAACCAGCAGACGTTGTTCTATATTCCACCTTCATACTCTCTGTATCCTCAGGCTTTCACAGAATTTGAGTCCATTTATTGTGATGATGGGCATTTTTACAGATGCTAAGTTTAGATACTTCATTTCATTCCTAGAGAATTTGATAGTCTTCCTAAAAATACTTCCTGTCCCAGCACTTTCCTGTACTTCCCTTCTCCTTCTGCACTTGTCTCCACTTCTGCACTCTCATATATTTTGAAAACTGTGTATCTAACTGTTAGACAGAAATTCCTCTTTGTGGCTTGATTACTAGCCCTCCTCTTGTAAGTTGAAATGAATTACTAAGATAGTAAAATTTGTACCACAAGCAAGTTAACAAATCTAAATGAAATTATAGTTAGAAAGAATAGGCAGTGTATGTATTTGTTGAACTATGACAGTAGGTGTGCAACAATGTTGCACCAAAGAAGAAGCGGCAGAGATACAGATTGTTGGGATCAGCAGTTAGAAGACTTTTTCTAGTCCTCTCTCAGACAGGAGTGCGTAAAAATATATTTTGAAAAAAAAAAAAAAGTCAGACAACATTCCAGAGGTTGGTTCCGTCCTTTATTTCAGTAACAACTTCTGAACGTCCATAGATTTTCCACCTCAGCATCAGTTTTCTCAAACGTGTTCCTATCAGCATCAGTGTATTACCTGTCCTGTTTGTGAGTTCTTTCTTTTATCGTCTGTAGTCTAGACATAAAACAAATCCCTTCCTGTCTGCGAGGACCGTCCTCTCTTCACACCAGATCCCTGGTACTGATAGACTAGACCACCTCCACCCTAAATTGTCCTGAGTCATAATAAGTCCTGGTTCTTATGACGGCCACAAGCTTTGCCAGATGAGAGCGGCCACACTGCTGTGTGAGATACTGGCGTAGGTGAGCTGAGCGGCTCATTTTTATTCCAGTCTATATTTTTTTGTGAAGCTGCAGGAGTTTCTCCGCAAAAATAGAGGCTGAAAAATGTTTAGTCCACACAATGGCAGTGTCTATATGTGTTGCACAGTGTCCCAGATGCAACAAGTCCACGACCAGTTTGAAAGTCCAAAAGTACTGTGCAGCAGACACTGTCCCTGCAGATCGGCAGCCTAGTGGTCACACACTGCACATGCATCTGGTGTTGACGTCAGTTAGCGTTGTGTAAAGTCATTTTTAGTTTCCCATTCTCCTGCTGCCCTTCACTAATGGAGCCCATCCCACTGTGTGAGTCCCCGGTATCAGGGTTAGCTAATGAGGATGAGCTAAAATTATCTTCTCTGAGGAGTCAGAATGGAAAAGAGACAAAATGTACCAGGAGCAGGTCGACTGGTGGTCCTAAAAAGAACAATAAACCTTGTCAGTCATTCTGGATGACACAAGAAAAGTGGCTAAAGGGCTCCTCTAGTGGTCTATGGTACTATGAAGTACTTTGCATGTCTCTTTTTTTTATCTGTGTGTTTTCTTATTAGCTTTTGATAACTTCTAGTAACAGTAACACCTGTAACTGTGACAGCACTGAATCTTCTATCTCATTGTTTCCCAAAGACTGGGTCGCAAGAGTTTTTTTTTTTGGTTATCTCGCATCATGTTTCCCAGGAGTTTATGAAAAATGTCTATCCACTTGGGTCGCGAAGTTTTGTGACTTTTAAAATATGGGTCCCAGAAAAAAAAGGATTTGGGAAACACTGAGCTGTCTGATCTAATGCCTGTCTTTTTCCTGCTTCGTCTTCCATTGCCTTGCTGTTAAATTAGATTTAAACACTGCCTTCTGGAAACTTCACTGAAATAAGATGAAAAAAGAAATCTTGTTTCTAATCGAATCCCCGTCCAAACCTGAAAAAGACCACAGCTACAGTGTGAGCTCCACATTGGACTGTGCTCTGTGAATTTCAAATGTTTTTTGTAGATGCTTTGAAATCCGCTGAGATTTTCCTGTTGCTTTTGAACCGACGGGTGCAAAAGTGAACCTTTTTTTTTTAGGAAACCTGTAGCTGTGACCTGAATGCAAACATTTTGGAGCAGCAGATGCTTTAACGTTTTGAGTGTGAGATCCAATATTAATAGAGAGAAACCTGAAGTAACCTCAGTAACCTGAAATATTTATTTGAATTATAAAGGAAAAGTTCTTAAGTTTTTGACCTGATCAGTCCTGATAAACATCAAAAAAAGCCTGTTAGAAGTGTAGAGGATAGAGAATGGAGCGGCCGGCCTGAAACTAGCCACAGGTACCTTGACTGATCATTCATGATTTTTGGTCCTAAATTCAAATAATATCAAAAACTTTAAAATTTTCTGCTGAACATTTCTTTATAAAAAGGCATAAAATGCTTCATACCTTAACACGTAGAAGTTTGTTGATGCAAATTTTCTATATTTGTAGTCGTTTTCTTATAAATATTCTGTTATCAGTAACATAAATGTAGTATTCCTCTGGGACTTTTTGCAGTGTACCACAACTTTCCAGACGTCACTTTTTGGTTGGAAACATGTTCCTCACACATGAATATTGAAATTGATGCTGGATTTGATTGACAGGTTCCTGTTTCGCAGTGGTAACCAGGAGCACCCAGGGGACAAAATTGAGAACACCACAGTGGAAATACTGCCCGTCAAGGTATGCACACACACACGCATGCACTCCCGGTGTGTCAACCCTCTGTGGTGTGATGTGCAAACTGCTCTGATTAGATTACAGTGAGTGGTTGCTCTTAGGGACGTAGCTCATTGATTATTGACAGGAATGTGAGCGTGACAGAATGCTTTGTTGTGCCAGAGACCGTGCATTCTGACACACTGATCTACACATCCTGTAACGGCTGGTTAAATTAAAACAAAAACATTTTTCAGGTGTAAAATACCTGTCCAACATTGTCTTTTATCCCCCCCCCACCCCCACCCCTCCTGTGTGTTTGTCAGGAGAGTGGAATGCAGACCAAAGAGAAGTACAAGAGGACAGATGATCGCTTCTATGTAGTGGGTACGTCGGACGAGCCACGCTGTTCATCTTTGAGCACATGCAAACACACAGGGATCAGGTTACACCTTCACACTGATGTGTCTGGAGTCATGGCCAGTGAACACACTTTGTTTCTTTTATTCTACGGAAATATTTCATTTAAAATTTTCCTGAAGTCCTTGTCCAGAACTGTTTTCAGTGAATAAGTGTTTTATTTGTTGTATCATATGTTGTGTTCTCAGTGAAATGTTGGTCCTCTGCAGTCCATGTAAATGAGTTTTACTGCATATCATTTACTTATCTGTGTGTGTGTGCTTTTTAAACACAGGTCAGTTTAAGAAGGGTGTGGCAGAAGGGGTTATAGATCCTTCCTTCAACCCAGTCTCAGCACTCCGGCTCTCTGTGGTCAAGGACTCTGCAGTCTGGGCCATCCTCAGTGAAGTAAGGCAATGATATAACACACATGAGCTAGTCCTGTCAAACCAGAAAATGGTAGTGTAGTAATATACAGCACTTCTGACTGTCTGTACTGTTCATAGTGTGAACCAGCAGAGGGCGATGAAAGCTTAGTCTGACCTAAGGTTCTTGTTTTGACTTATATAAAGACTTTCATCAAAGCCTCAGTGCATTAGCAGTAAGATTTTTGAATAAAAATCACAGCAGTTGTTTCGCTCACGTTCACACTAGAACGTAAATGTAAATATTTACTTATGTAAATATACTGCCTGGTTTTAGTTAGGTTTAAATTGATGTGACATATGGTCTGTTTCCTTAAAAAGTGTAAAAAAAAAGATTGTTGTTGGACTTCATTTTTAGAAGCCGTGATAACCCCACTGTGTTGATGTCGTCTCTAATGATGATGACGTAATGTTCCAGATGCATTAGTGATGCTCTGCTCTTCTTTTCCAGGTACATATAAAGAGGATAAGTGGCTGACTGCACTTTCTGGATGGTAGGGGGGTTAGATGAATCATGGCCCCTGAGGGACCAAAATCTCCTGGACTGCTTATGCAGGGCCTCTGGCACCTAGCAACCAGCAGTGAAATCATTAGAGTCCACTAGAGTAGCTCAAGTGATGCTGACTGAAGAAACCCCACCTTTCTCTGCCCCCGCCCCACCCTTCCAGTTACTTAGTCGGTCACCGATCTGTTTCTCTCTCTCATTCTGCAGCTCCTGTACTCCTCACCACCACCCCCCTCCACCACCCCACCCTGCCCGTCCTTAATTCATTTGTGAGATTGTAAGCAGGACTGCCTAAGGAGCAGCATTGGAGCGTAACAAGACCTTTGCTGCTCAGAGGCTTGGGATACAATCAGAGCAAAAACCCTGGACTAATGGGAAGAATCTGGAAAAAGGAAGAGAAGCAGTCGCCTTGCTACTGGTGCAGATGCTGCCAAATTCCTCAACGTTGTTCAATGCTGCCACCTGTGGGCGAGCTGGGGTCTTGCACTGTCACTGGCGCCCCAGCAAAAGGCCACGATGATGAAGAATGTTGATATCAGTAAGGCCAGTTCTTATTTTCCACACCAGCCCAGACAAAAATATTGTCCTCACTCCTGGAGTATTCTTAAATGTGTTCACTTGTCCTCAGGACCAGACTTACCACACTGGCTACCCAAATCCTGCCTGCAGCCAATCGGTAAAAACTTTTGACCCCAGCATAGATTTGTAATAATGAACCCTTTCATTACAGAAAAACACTTACATTAATCCACATGTGTCCTCACCCACTGTCAGACAGGCTGTTAACCCGCGTCCATTTATATAGTGCACCAATCAGACATTGCCTTGTCATTTTGTTTTGAAGGAAAATATTGTGATATTGATATATTATTACAACTTTGATGATTTATGAAGGTGACTTAATTTATTTGAAATAAATCTTTAATTTGTACAAGAGGTAAAATATATTTTTATTCTATTGAGAGATGTTTATGATAGTTGAAAATCACTTTTATTTGTGTTTTTTTTTTCTTCTGAAATTATACTGTATATTGTACATTTTCTTTTATGGCCTCTTGTGAAATTGCTTTGTCTGCAGCTAGTAAGTCCTGAGTTTACTTCTGTTCAGTTTCTTTACACTTTAAAGTGAAATGCTGAAAGCGACTCAGTTAATTTCCACAGTCTTGAATCTATGTGGTAGACTTGAGTGTGTGAATAGATCCTTTTGAAGTAGTTCGTGGGTCAGATATAGAGAAATGTGCCTTATATCCAGGTCTGTTTAACTTGTCTCACCAACTGTAGTCCAGCGTATTCCCTCCACTTTCTACCCACATGTCGATTGCTGGATATACTAATATTTTAAGAGTGATACGTTGAAGTCCGGTGAGTGATGGATCTTATGGAGGATCTCCCTGAAATGCTGGAGAAAACTGGTGATCAATGTTTTCCCATACCAGATTACTATCTGAAACGGCGTGATTTGCACTGCTTTTTCGGTTGATTTTACCCATCACCCTTTTAACTGTGTGTACGTGGAAATGTTCACCCACACTCACCTGCTGCTTTTTTATTTTTGTGACCTGTCCAGACCTTTTTAAGATTTGCTTCGTCCAATCTCGTATGTTTTCCTCATTTTTTGATTGGACCCAACATTGTGACTACTGATGACAGCACCTTTTTTGTGAAATGATTTATCGGCAGTTGTTGAATATTTTCACTGACTGTAAATCTGTAAAAACAGCAATGAACATCTTTTTTCTTTCTCTCACGTGATAGTTTATTTAAATTCACTTGAATGTGTGTTGTGTTTGTGTGTGCGGCCAATGTTCAGAGTATAAGCTGTTTTTGAAGTGAAAGTTCACTCATTGTACATTTCAGCGCTTTATTAAAAAAAGGGGGTTTAGTGAAGTGCCTTTTGGTGAAGTTTATACGAACGTGATGATTTTTTGCTAACAGTGCTTGTTCACATGCATGATTGTCATTTGTAATTTATGAAAAATTGTTCTGTTTCTTTTGTTAGTTTTGATCAACACAAATATTCAAAGTACAGAACATGGACCTGCATTTCCCTTTAAATCAGAGTGTTTCAATTGGAAGATGTTGACGGGTCAAACATTAAAATGTGTCAAACACGTGGAGCAACAGAGCTCTACTACTAAAAGTAAGTGCATGATTCCAGCATGAATGGTTGTTTTGGAACTAGGGCATGAGATGACAACCGTTGTTAAAGAAACAAAAAGGAATTACTTCAATGACTGGAAACCCAAAAGACACGCATCACTTCATGTGCCTTCATCATGTCATGTGAATGCTGGCATCTTTTTCCCATGAACATCTTTAAAATAAACGATTGAAATTGCTAGAAAGCATTGGCCATTATGGGTTGTATTTTCATTTGGATTGCATTGTTCACCTCATCTACTTTACCAGGTATGTACAGTATATATATATGGACAATAAAAATAAGTTTTAATGTCATAAATGTATTTTCTCAAAATGAAATGTTCACACCCGCTGACACTTGCAGAAGCCCACTCTATCACTGATAATATAGCTGCTAATTAGCAATTAGTGTGTGTACATCTGTACATACATGTAATGACCTTGTTATAGTTAATCTACAGAAGAAAGGGGGGTAGGGGATAAAGCCAGGAAAAACTATACTGAAAGTGGCTAAAATATAAAACAATTATGTGAATTTATATATGTACCCAAAATATAACAAAACTTCAAGACATCACCTAAACACCTAAAATCAAATTAAATTAAGCATGAAAGCTAAACAGTAATAAAAGCTAGCAAAAAATAATGTTAACCCCCAAAGATAAAAGTAGGGTAAGATAGTTAGAACACATCACAAACCATAGCTATAATTAAACCAGTTGACAATAAATTGGGAGCTGAACTAATAAAGTTGGTTGGAAAGCTCAATAATAGCAACAAACTCAGCTACATACGTCACTCTCTTTTTTTTATTTATGTGTAAATATTCAGCTTTGGCAGCTGTACTGTTACAGCGCCAGAATTAACAAACACTACAACCGCTCCCAGCATGCACCTTTTTTCCCGACATGCCTTGTAGCAATATGGCTGCCGCCGAGTTTTCACAACATTGACGATTGTGCTAATGGGGAGCCTGTTCTTGAACTTGTGACAACATTGAATGTTTTAGTTGTTTTTTTTCAAGCGGACTGTGGAAAAATGCCGAGATATTACGAGGATAAAGAGGTCGACCACAGAGCATGCTCAGGCCTGAGAGAAGACTTTAAAGAATGTCTCCTTACACACGACTGTGTCGTGAAGGTGAGAACGTTACATCTCTTAACCGTAAATACGTACGTCATTTACGATTTTACAAATATTTTAATATTTTTTTTGTCAATATATGTTACATATGTTATTTGTTACCCGAATACAAAGTAACGCGTTGAGTATCATAGCCTTTTAATCCAATTAAATCAAGTTAGAATTAGAAATTCAGAAGCAGTGACATTATTTTGGAACATTTTTCTTTGTCAGGAGGGTAAACTACCAAGTGAGTGTCTGAAGGAAGGCCACTGCAAAGCCCTGCAGGCTTCATTCTTTGAGTGCAAGAGGTCTATGGTAAGTGTGTGCTAAATGTTACCTAGGGAAGGTAATTTTATATTTAAAGAGATTCTAGTCTCACTCAAATAGTTATTCATTAATAATAATAATTCATTAAGTCCTATCGATCTATGTATCTAAAAAAACAATAACGCACAGTATTTACAATATAAAGTCCACAGTTGTGTAAGAATTTTTTTAGCATTTCAACTTATCACATTAGTTAAAAATAAGTCTTATATTTATTATATTTTATTATGTATCAATCGGCACAGAACAGAAAATAAAAGTCTGGTTTCTCTAAATACATGAAAACAAAACGGTTGGTTTTCTTCCTACTCCTTAGTCAGAGGTTTGATAATTATGAGGTAATCTCTTAGTTGCTCACCGCATGTTGTACATACTATGAGTGTAGTGTTTCACAGCCTTACCAGTCCATGTCTATTACTTTACAGATGGACCCAAGGTCGAGATTCAGAGGAAGGAAAGGAGATTGAGGAACCAATTTGTGTCAATATTTGGTTGGGAAAATACTGGTTGAACTTCTGTTCATGTTCAACTTTAAGTCAAACATAAGTTTATGAAGAATGTCCAAAACAAATAACTAAACACAAAAGAAAAAACCTGACACACACTGTCAATGTAAAGGAGTTTCACCTCATTGTATATTTTTGTGTTTTGATTTCCTGTGCTGTGACTGGGGAGTAATGTGTTTGTGTAAACAGAACTTTCACATCAAAACAATTCTATTATTGTATCATTACTAAGAGTTTAATAATCAATTACAAAAATCTATTTTGTTTGCCTAAAAAGAGTGTTCATTTGTAAGTAAAAAAGTAGTTTATTTCAAAGCAGCCATCAACATCTGCTGGAACATCTTCAAGTCCACCTTCTTCATAATAGAAGCTGTGAAAGTCTTGTTCAAGCCGCCTGTTGTATCCACTACCATCATGCCCCTGGTGAAGGTTCCGCTCAGCTCTACGGTCACTGGGTACTGGTCACTTTCTAAGATGAACGAGTCGTCTATGGCAGCAGCCATGGCGTAAACGTCACACGGAACAAAACCAGAGCCGGTCGGAAACACCTTCTCCCCGTACTCATTTTTTGAGGCGTTGATGCTGTGACGGAATATCTGTGCCATGAAGCGAGCTTTATCTGTGTCCTGTGCCAACCAGGCGTCGCAGAACTCCTGTCAACGTCAGTACAGACAATAAGGATGTCCCTTCGTGAAACACTGACGTCATTCAGATATTTATTTGAACTTTATGGCTTACCCAGGACAGCTTGTTGTAGCATGTAAACTCCCAGCATGCCAGATAGGTGGGACACTGGTACTCATTCAGAACAATATGAGCAGCCTCTGGATCAGCAATGAAATTAAACTCACTGCACATTGTTACATTTCCTCGAGCTGATAGAAAAAAACAGAAATAAAACAACTGATTGAAACTATTCTTATATCTTAAACGGACAAGAAGAAGTGTATATTAATTTGTCCTATGTTTTACTCACACTCTGTGTTTCCTCCCATGATGTAGAGACCTTTGAGTTTACTTGGCAGAGAAGGGTCCATCTTCACGGCTAAGGCCACGTTTGTCAGAGGAGCTGTGGCAACCAGAGAAACCTGGAAAGACATGGACACAGACCTTCATTTGAGAAATATCTCCACCAAGTGGTGATATCTCGACTCTCACCTCTCCTGGGTTTTCATTGACGATCCTTATCATGGCTGACACGGCTCCTTCTGTTTGAATCAGATCTAGACCAGGAGCATTTGGGTCAGGGGCGTCCCCTAGTCCGTCCTGACCGTGAAAAGCTGCAGCATTGAGGACTTCCCCTAGGATTGCCTTTGCTGCGCCTTTAAATACAGGAATCTGGCAGAGGTAACACAACACACACACCTTAATACCACAACTAAAGCATCAAAACAGGAAGTAAAAAGTATTTAAATTTTTTTTAAATTTTTTTTCCAAAAGAAAAAAATAGCTTTTGGCATAGGCCACATATGGTGCTACCTATATCTGCTGCTGTGCTGCAAACATTTTGCCATTTTAATTTATTTAATTTTAATTAGCCATTTCAATTTAAAATTTTTAATATTGCCTAGGGCTGGAAGCTGTTCTGCCTTCTATGATGTTTTTTTTTCTACATGGTCTCTCTGACTCACTAGGATGTAGGACTTTTGCTTCATAATGCATTATGCAGCACTCAAACGAGTGGTCAAATCTTCAAGTGTTCTGTAGTCACTTAAGCACTTTGTCAGATGGTTGCAATAAGTCATTCAGTTTACAAAAAAAAAACCAACTCATTCTTTGGGCAGATGTTTGTTCGCTTAGTGACATCCTCAGTCACGTTACCGGCAAATTCCACATTAAAGTCAAATGACAAGCAGATGACACTATTCAGAATAAACCTCCAGAGCTCCAGGCTAATTTTATTTAGCACCAAAACCACTAATCTTGACAGAAAACTCGAGATTAGCATTAAAAAAAAAAAGTCACAAAAATGCAAATGTGTGTAACACACACCAGCAAAACAGGTTTTCAAACGCAACAGTCTGGAGTCCTGGGAACATTTTAGAAGAAAGTGAACTCTCCCTGTAACAGACCTTGTTAAAGGAGTAGTGAATAGACAGATAGATAGATATAACTTTAGTAATCCCTCAGGAGTTCCCTTTGGGAAATTTAGGAAATAATAGTAGTAGTAGTAAATATAATAACATCGTTGCTGCACCTACATACCTCCAGTTTACCACAGACCTGCAGCACACGCAGTGTGTTCTTACACACGTTCTCCACTGAGGTGTTGCCGCTCACACAGGTGATTCCCAGGAGCTCCACATTAGGAGCTGCCAGCGCCACCATGATGGCCTGAGCGTCATCGACTCCACAGTCCACATCTAACAGCAGCTTTTTCTTCATCATGGAGCCTGCAGAACCACTGTGGTGTGTAATCAACCATTACATAAAAAAGCCTTACCTTTGATCAAGAAAAGTTAATAAAGAACTACACCTACCAGTGAAACTGTAGTGTTTGTGGGCTGATGGTGGGTTCACAGGTCTCAGACAGTGGTCAGCTGAAAGAAACCTTTGTTCCAGTTACACAACAGGAGGTCAATAATGAAACAAATTAACTGTTTGTGGTAGAAATTCTTCAAGGTTTATGGACAGTAAAGTTTTGTTTTTTTCACCCACTCTTGGTGTGGACATAAAAAAGACAACAAACTTTAAGTTTTTGTATAATTTACCCCATCCTTTTATTTCCCTTTTATCAATGTGTGTTGGAATGTTAAATCTTTTTTTCTAATTCAACGCAGCTTACCTAAAAAAAAAATCAAACCATTATATACAGTACTGCAAATATATAAAATTCAGTTACTATCAGTATTGTAACTAATATTTTGTTCAGTATTGTCTGAACAAAATGATACCTTCACGGTCCACTCTGGAGCACGGAAACTTGAGATGTACTGTATAGCTCCTCTACTAATCCACCGAAGGACAATTGTGTGCATTCCGTCGCTTCGCAAAACACATATAACGCAAAAAACAAACGAAAACAAAACAAAACAATAACAAAAATGATTCACAAGAAAACTTTACTGTCCCCATATCATGACGCGGAGTACACGACCGATATAAAAACCGCGTCACACTTATATGCTGTGGTACAGCAGCGCAACCCTGAAGCATATTTACATGCAAAAACAAAAACACCCAGAGTGTCTATAGGTGACAGACTGAATATGTGCATGAGTAATTCCTCGACTCACCTTCCCACCGAACCTCTGAAAGTGAGAGACTTCGCTGTGAGTCGCTGGAGAATCACCGCCATCCAGAGAAAAACGCATTAGAGAGGGGGGCGATGCAAAGACGTCTCACTCTGCTGTGATTTCTGAGCACCTTCTTCTTCGTCTTTAGTTTTCAATTGGAAACGAGTCAATAACTATCATGCGATGCAAAACTAGCTTGCTCCGGTGGACAGAGCTGTTGCCGTCGAAACTTCCACATGAAACCCGCGAAAGCATCTGGCGGTAAGTAGACCATCTGCTTTCGCCTGTGTATCCCATTATTTAATAGTTTGGTTAAAACCTTTCTCCATTAAGCTAAATGTGCCCTTATGATAGTAATCATTTTGCTTAGCTTAGCATCCATCATGATAGCTTACGTTTCAGTGACGTAAAGCTGTACCGGGGCACAGTCAGAAAAAAAGTGCGTGAGTTAATTGCATTTGGTTTCTAATGAAATCTTCATTTCTGTATAATAGACTATAATAGTAGAAGAACGTTCCATGTTCTCCTGAATTTAATTATAAATAAATAACTTTATTACTAGATACTGCTTACATTCCACCTGTAAACAAATCCATATGAGTAGGTTGATTCTTACAGAGCTGCTAATTCACTGTTCTCAAGATAAGTGTTAATGATATTACTGAACTACTGTGAAAAATGATAAAACTACAGTACAAATCATTCTTTTGGAGAAACTTATTTAAGTGGTACTGTGGGGACAAAGTGTTGAAACCTTAATTAAACAAAGTATGTTCCCACAGTTGTTAAACTAAGCGTCCGACATAGAAACATAAATAACATCACATAACATAAATCACTTTTCTGTCAAGCTGAGTTATAAACCAAATCTCCCACCAATGTGCAGTTACTGATTTATTTTACTGGCACACTGATTTGTTTTTACCAACAAGCTTTTTCCAGTTTTCCAGTTTCACCTCTTTTTGGGAAGTAAGCGTCACCAAGACTTCCCTGTGTAACCTCTGAGCAAGACTGACTTCTGTACCTTTCATAGCCATGGATCAAACTATAACAGCATTAAGAAGAACAGCCATATCACCATAAAGAGAAGTAAGCAAATAACATCTGTAAAATAATCTCCACTGTCTCTGTATGTTTTTCTAACACAAGATTTATGGCCTGCCGTTAAACAGAATATCAACGATGATTGGCTCAGTGTTTGGTTGTTTTTTTCATTTTCATGCAGGTACTGTATATCATTCACTTTCAATCAAATATTGAGTTCTGCAATATCTTTCCTATGTTAGTGAACACAAAAATAATATCAAATTTAATTTGTGCTGACAATTGTTTGTTAATATTTCTAACATGTGGATGTTTTATACTAAAATGCATGTGAACCAGTTTCTTACGAATGCTTCTGAAAAAGACTCTGGACGTTGTGATTCTGTGTTTTAGAAATGTCCGTTAAAAAGTGACTGTGCTTATTGAAAGGTGGGATTGTGTCACATGTCAGAATGAATGGAAAAAAAGTGGGAGGACAGAGAGACAGTTGGACGGAGACAATCTGAAAGCACTGTAATACAACTCTAGTTTAGGTCCACAAACACCACCTCTTCAGACAGTAAGGCTTCAGTGAGGCCTTGTTGTCTGCTGCATCACCTACTTTGGGTTTAGAGCATCATTAGGCATTTAGTACATGAGAGAAGGAGTAATTCTGTTGATACTTTATAGTGTGTGAGAATGTAAATTATTTTTGGACTGAGTCTGTGTTGTAGTCCATCATTGTTTCCTGCTGTTGGTCAGCTGTTAGGGCAGTGAGACACAGACCTAGAGACCTCATTTAATGTAGACCTATGGTAACACTGGGATTTGGACGTCTGTACAGTGATTAACAAAAAGGCTGTTCATTAATTGTGTGTGGGTGTTTATCTTTGTGTGATGTCATCATCATTGTCGTCATAGTCCCCATCAGTCTTTTGGTCCTTCAGACAGTAGTGACCACCTAGGTCTCGACTTTCCCATAGGTCCCCTCTGGAGGGCGATACTGTTTGGGGAAGGCCTTGAGCTGGAGAGAATTAAAGGCGTATTTGCGGCATCCCACATTTTTCATGGTGTTCTCTCTCCTGCATCCTTCACTGTAGAGAAACACACCATGTTGATATTGTGGGCTTTGGCTAATACCGGATTATTCAAAGGTAGAGTTTGGTGCAAAAACAAAATCTGACCTGCGCATGCAGTCCAAAGCCTGGTAGAAGACCTGTGGGGCCAGGGCGTGCTCCTGCTCTAGAATCTGACACTGCTCCAAGGTCAGAGACATAGCCGTGCGGTCCTTGGCACTCTTACAGCAGGTGAAACGCATGCCGTTCAAGCGACGACATGCCTTAGAGTATTCAGTAAAAGAAGAAGAAGGGAAGACATGAGCTCTTGAAGTGGGACGGTGATGAGTGATGCCATGGAAACAAACCTACCTCTGCTGCCTGCCACAAAATCTCCACATTTTTGCTTTTCTTTGCATGCACATTTTGGCTGAGCAGCTTGAGGAGCTCAGGCAGGCTGGTGGTGGAACAGGTGCGAGGGAGGCCTTCAGGAAACCAGAGAAGGGGTGTGAGCATTTAAAAAGAGGGTAGTTTTTTCAGTTTGACAAGGGTTGTGTGTTCAAACTCACAATCTTCTGGCAGGACTTCTTTAAACTGGTCATAATAGGAGCTGAAGCGAGCCATGCTCTCCATGTTAATCACATCTTGGAGAGATGTATCTCCAAACCTGGGAACATTAGAGAGAAACATGAGGTCGGGAAAAAAAATCATTATAAAATAAAATGGCAAAAATGGTTTAGGTCTGCAAACATTAAAACAGAAAAGTATACCGAAAATTGAAATAAATTTAAAAAGCCAAAAATGACATAAACAGTAGCTAAGAGTGACCAAACATGAAAGCAAAATAAACTAAATTTAGTTAACCAAAACCTCTTGAACTTGAACTGGCATATTTTTAAATGACAAACAAAATTGAATATTTTTTATTAAATATAAAATCTGGTCTAACTAATGCACCAGAACTTCCTCCCAGCAGAACTTTATATCACTGACATTTCCAAATCATTCAGTTCAATTTAAATCAACAACCTGCTAAAAAAAAAAGAATCTGATTAAGAGGTCATCTTTCTCAGCTGTCAGACTCACTTCTCTGCCAGTGTCTGCTGTTCGTTGATCCCCACGTTGAACAGGATGGGCTGCACACGCAGCAGCATCCCGTTCTGGATCTCCCGTGGTAGAGACTCAAACAGGGCTCCAGGCATCGGTACCCTGACGTTGAAGCCGTTGCGGTTGCCCGTGATCACTGGCAGCATGTCTGGGGCAAAACCCGACGTCGCCTGGGTTACTTTAAAAGTGACGTTTCTCAGGTCCATCACTCCGACGCTCATGTCCTCTAACATGGCCAGTTCCTCACCTTGGAAAGAGAGTAGTCACACTTTTCAATTAATAAAATGTGGGGCAAAAATCTTATGTTTGTGTAAAAAACAAAAGCAAACAGCCAGACACACATAAGGATATGAATCTGACCATAGGTGCTGAGGAGTCCCTCGTACTGCACCAGTAAGCCGATGGTGTGGAGCTGTCTGAGGAAGCCGGAGTCACACAGACAGTTCCTCAGCTTCAGGATGAAGCCGCAGATCAGCGCCGTGAGCTGTAAACAACACAGCTGGGATCAGCACGGAAACACCTGGGATTGTTGTGATTTCTGCCTGAACATGATTGGTCAGATTCACAAACCGTCTGGCAAAAGACGACGTCGCGCCTGTACTGCAGCGTGAGACTCATGGCGATGGTGGGGGCGCTGTCCTGCATCAGGAGGAACACCATGGCTTTCTTTGCTTTGTCGCTCATCAGAGAGACACAGTCTGTGAGCGTGGTGAGGAGAGGGTAGAGAGCCTCGCTCCACTCTCCTGCAGTCACAGCACACACAGCACGGAAGAAGAATATCACAAAAACATTTAACAAATCATCAATCATTTTTAACTGCTACATATTTCAGCTGTATTCATTCAGTGTTCTGTATTCATTTTTTCACCTGGTGATTTCTTATCTGCTTCTGGACTCTTTTCTGTAAAAGAATTGGAAGATCAGAATCAGTTGGAGACGCACAAATGTCACATTACACGTTTCGACAACTTTGAATTTGAGAATGGAACTACAGATGCATTAGGCAGGGCAACAAAGATGAATAGTTTGTAATTCTGACAAATATAGTTGGCGATCCCTGTCTTATGCATAAGTGCAAAAATTTTCAAAACATGCTATGTGTAGCACAAGTGGTACGTTTGCCCCCTCTAGTGGTTTGCAGGAAATCTAACGTTACCTAACGTTAGAATTAGATGAATCATTCGGTGGTTAAATACAGTTGTCACCTGTGTTCATGTGGTTCTAGGTGCCAGTTGGGGTGTTACCTCTTTGTACAGTGATTGGCTGATATACAGGCTAATGTTTTTAGGGGGGGAAATGTGATTTTATAAATGATGCTATTTTTACAGTGTGTCTCTGTCTGTGGCACACAGTGTACAATGTTGATGTGTGACTATCTTTTCTCTGTGTTTTTCCCACCTTTTTTAGTATTACTGTGTTCATCATTAGCCATTAGGAAGACGTCTTCGGAGCTGCTGTCACTCTGGAGTTTGTCCTGCTGCAGCAGTCGATCCACCCTCTGGAGAACACACTCCAGGCTCTTGTCAACATTTAACCAGTCTTTCTCCTGAGAGTGAAACAGTCCCAACGATCAACCAGAGGAACAACTAAAAACATGAGAAGTTCATTTCAGAGGCCAACTTCTTCATCTTACCCACTCCTCTTCATGCAGCTCTGCGTGCAAAGAGGCTCTCTTTTTGGTAACATCACTGCCCTCTGGAGGAATCACATGGCGGGAAGGTGAAGTTGCGGCGCGAGACGGGGAAGTCGGGTGACGAGAAGGAGAGCGGGATGGGGAGCGAGAGGAAGGCGAGAGTGAGGTGGAAGAGGGAGACGGGCTGCTTCGCTGGGTGACCTCCGGACGGGCGGCCGCCAGGGCGAGGATGGCCGAGGAGAGCAGCTTGGAGTCACACACCGCCACTAACTGACGGGTCTGTGGGAGGAGTGGAGAGGAGGAGGCAGGAGGTGAGGTTACGTGAAGAAGATTTTAAAGAGCTTTGGCTAACTTTGTTATTATTATTATGTCAGCTAAAATATTTAAAACCTCTGCAACTTTATGTACACAATTAACCCTTTAAAATCTGACAGATCCATTAGAGATTGCTTAAAAAAAACAAAACATTGTTGAACTCCGTGACCTTCTCTGTGAGGATGGCTAAGGTTCTTTCCAGAGCGTTTGCCGAACGATCTTTGGCAGCTCGCGACAGTCGTTCAGTGTAGTAACAGACTTGCGTCTTCAGAGTGTTTATTTGACCAATCAGCTCCTTTGCTTTTAACACGTCCTGCGGCTGATAGGCCTTTCCTTTGGAGCCAGAGCTGTAGGAAAATTAAAGAAAAAATTAACAACAAAAACAAGCTAAAGCAACAACAGAGTCAGGTCTTTTATAACCTCACCTTTCCTCCTCATAATGGCTGGGTTGCATGAAGCAAAACGATTTTTAAAAATTCAGAATTACTCAATGACTAAGTATAATATGAAGGTGTATTTCTTTTCACGTCCGTTTACTCACTGTTTTCTGGCTTCCTCCAGTTTGTGCAGCAGTTTTCGGAGGCCACAGCCTTTAAAGCCCTGATGATGGGCTGCAGGAGCGCCGATGGTCACCACGTCATAGGTACGATCTGATTCACAGAACAGCACAGAAGACGACAATAATGAGCGGAAAGAGAAGACCCGACCTACAGCGTTATAAAAACATCCCATACGCACCATAACCAGACTCTCCCTGGACCCTCATCCTCTGGATGTGCAGGTTAGTGGGAATGAACTCCAACTTCTTTTCAGCTTTCAAGGTGCTAGACTTAAAAGACGGACCTGTGGAATTGAGATAAGGAAAAATATATACTTTCAGAACCCTCAGGTGTCTAAAAGGACTTCTTTGCTTAGATCAAGGGTGTCAAACTCACTTGGGGGCCACATCAGCAATACAGTGCCCCTTGAAGGGACAGTTGTAAATAGAAGACTAAATGTACTTAATTTGTACTAATATACTTATTTCAAACAAAGTCATATCCATTTACTTTTTTTGTTTAAAGATAATCTGACAATATTTTAAAATAATAGTTAATTCAGACTCTGATACAAATAGAATAGAGTCTAAAAGATGTTTTATTTTGAAAATGTAATGATCCTTCAATGCTCAGGGTGGTACTGGCTGACCAGTCCTTGGAACAAAAAAGGTTTGAAACTCTGCTTCATGGATGCAGACTGAATGCTTTTAAGGCTCCCGCGGGCCACACAAAATGACTTGGTGGGCCGCATTTGGCCCCCGGGCCTTGAGTTTGACATAGGTGGCTTAGATGGATGTGAAGAAATAATATACATTTTTGATCATTTGACCAAATAACCAAGTGTCATGTCTCTAACCTTTATACTCGTGCAGGTCACTTATGGTCTCCTGATAGGTGAGAATGATAGTCTGGTACTGAGTGATAATCTGCCTCCTGAGGTTCTCCCAGCACGGTGACAGCTCACCCAGCTCTTCCAGTTCACACACCCTGAGAACCACAGTCACTTCCATGATTCCTGCTTTCTGTCATTTCAGACTTTGAACGACTTTCCCAATGAAGACAAGGCCAGAAATATTTACCTGACCGCGTCCTCTTCCAGCAACAGTTTGACGAACTGTCGAGGGATGTGCAGCGACAGCGCGCTCTCCGCCATCTGCTCCAGGATACGCAGGTGGTTTCCGTCCGTGGTGGGGAAGCGGTACGTCCTCGACATCACGCCTCCGAACACTGACACAAACGGAACATACTGTCACAGCCAGGAAAACACACACAGCTCTGACACTGAGAGTGAAAGCAGGCTGTTTTCTGGTGTGTGGACACAAACTCACCAGCCTTCAGCAGAGGGTCTTTGCACAGAGACGAAGACTTGGATCTAATGTCTCTGGGTTCAGTCAGACTCTCATCAACCGGCAGGACCATCTGAGAAAAGTAGGAATTAAACTTCTACATCATTAGGAAACAACTCGACCACACAGATGAATACACACTAAACCAACAATCAGTGGATGTTGGAGCAGGATAAATCAGGAAAGATATGACAACCTAAACACACTGATCTTACGCCGATGTAAAATGTTACACAGGAGTTAGATGTAGTATCACTGCACTGATATACAGTAGGTTTTCACATACTCTCCCATTGACAGTATCTCCTCTCTGTAGTCTTGACACAGGAGCTCTCTGCTCACGCTTCTCCTCAATCTGCCATGCGATGACCGTGACGTTGCCCACGCGCTCGCTCTCTGTGGATCTGACCACACACACACACACAGAGAACTCTAAACACCCTCCAAACTTTAATCCAGTGCACAAATGAACTCCTTCTGTCTCTGTGGTACCTGAGAGTCAGGTGCATTCTGTGGTGTTTGTCCTGCAGCAGCTCCTTCACAGAGAACATGGCCGTGCCCAGCATGTACATCTGTCGTTCAAAACCACAAACAACCCAGAGTCGGTACCAAGATTTATTTACGGCTAAAGAAAAAGTCATGTTTCGAAGGTTGGTGCTCACCGTGCCCTGGGAGCGATCCTTCACATCGTAGACCGAGAGCTTGACCTGAGTCTGCTGAGTGATCCGGGAGTCTTGAAAGAAGGCTATACTGCTCAGGAAGATTGGGTTACTGGTGCCCTGCAGAAAAAGACAGGAAGGATAGAAATGAATTGGTTTTGAAGCTAAAAGGCGGTGGACGCCTTCACAGGAAAGGGCAGGCTGAGTGAAGATCACCTCAATGATTTCTGTCTGAGCGTGCTTGGTCCAGAAGGCCTGGGGCGGTGTGGTGCAGCTGACTGCCACGAAGCTGCTGGGCTTACGGTCCAGAGATGGAGTGACCAGTTCACTGCAGGCTGC